ATATGTGTGTGTGTGTGTGTGTGTGTGTGTGTGAGTGTGTATTTATATCTGCTTAATCCTGTATTTTAATGCATATTCTAACTCATGCACAGTAATTGTTGACGCGCTGTTGCGGAATTCATCGGTGGATCCTTCTGTCAACTACAACGAAGCAATCATTAAGGCGACCGAGAATGGCCACATCGAGGTCGTCGTCCGCTTGTTGGTAGACAGACGTGTAGGTAAGCATATATGTACCCTTGTTAAGTTTTTTGTTCGATTGATCCACATACATTTGTTCATATGAATATTATCGAGTGTAATATACTTATTGTTTACCGATTGTGTATAATGAATCTACAATTAAGGAGAATTAACACACAGAGGTGATGGTCCACTTATTGGTAGACAGATGTCTGGTTTTGAATATGTGCGCCCTTGCTTATGGTCCATTTGAATTGTATGTATGTGTTTATATACATAATATCAAATGTACTTTTTTTACTGTATATGGTCAAGAACAACGAAACGAAGCCATAATCAAAGCAGCTGCGAATGAAAACTTTGACGTGGTGGTCCGTCTATCGGGGAGATAGACGTGATATACGTATATGTACATACTTATTGAGCATTGCGTTCCACTCAATAGTTTACTGTCTATCTGTCTGCCATAACGAGGCTGTATTCAAAAATGCTAAAAGACAGACGTTATATATACTACAATGTACTGATATGATACTCCTTTGCATATATTAGAATGTACTGGAATAATGTTCCTTTAAATATATAAGAATATACTGAAATGATACTCCTTTATATACAATCGAATTTACTGAAAGGATATCTCCATTAACCTTGCAGACTGTAGCACAGACAACGACTCGCCACTTCGCCTGGCTTGCGCAAATGGCCACCTGCGTGTGGTAGAGGTCTTGATGGGACGTCCCAAGGTATGTGCACATATTGAAGAAGACAATGGTAAATATTGTATAGAAAAGGATATATCGTATGCATTTCACTATTCTTTGCATATGTATGTGCATATTGAAGGGACCATAAAAAAAGTTGTATAGAATATAGATATATAATGTATATTTACTATTTTTTGAATATGTATGTGCGTGTATCAAAGTTACCATGGCGTCTATTGTATAGCGAATAGGGCTATGTAAAGTAGCTCTCATACCCTTTACATTTTATATCTCAGTCGAACACTCGTGCGTACATCAAGAAGGCCGTACCACTCATAGCGAAAGCGGGTGAAATCCTTAAAACATCTGCACTGTTTCAATGCCTACTTACGCCTATGTTTCATATATACCTGATACATCTCTCACACACAGCTACCTACCAACGCATACTCAGGTAGATCCCAGTGCGTACAACAACGGGGCCCTCAAACTTGCAGCCGAGAACGGTCATGCTGACATCGTGGATGTGCTTTTGGGTGACGAGCGCGTGCACGCAACCACAGACAACCAGTACGCATTCAACGAAGCATGTCGTAACGGCCATGTGGCTGTGGTGGAGTTGTTACTCGACGAGGAAGACATTGATCCTGCGCTGAACAACAGCATTGCTCTGTCTCTGGCTGCCAAGGTGTGTGCTAATATTACATTGAGTGTATGGGTGCGGGGAGGAAAGTGTGTCTGTATCGATATATAAGACTTGTTTATATATGCGTATATACTACTTAAAGAATTGTGCCGGTATACATCAACAGATAACCAGTACGCGTTCTACGAATCATGTGGTATTGGGCATGTGGCTGTAGTTGAGCTCTTGCTTGATGAAGGTAAGATTAATCCTGCCCTGAACAACAGCGTTGCGCTGTCTATCGCAGCCAATATGTGACTTTTATGTTGCTTTATGTGTACTTGCACGTGGAGTCAATAATACTTCACGAATACAACCACTGATACCAAGTACATACAACCACTGATACCAAGTACATACAACCATTGATACCAAGTACATACAACCACTGATACCAAGTACATACAACCACTGATACCAAGTACATACAACCACTGATACCAAGTACATACACTCACTGATACCAAGTACATACAATCACTGATACCAAGTACATACAACCACTGATACCAAGTACATACAACCACTGATACCAAGTACATACGATCACTGATACCAAGTACATACAACCACTGATACCTAGTACATACAACCACTAACACATACGAATACAACCACTGATACCAAGTACATACAACCACTGATACCAAGTACATACAACCATTAACACATCCGAATACAACCACTGAAACCAAGTAAAATACAACCATTAACACATCCGAATACAACCACTGATACCAAGTAGCATACAACCATTAACACATACGAATACAACCACTGATACCAAGTACACACAATCATTAACACATACGAAAATCTAAATTATTACTTACTTAAATCAATATATATACATGACTAATGACATCTCAGAGGGGAAGAAGGTGATGTGTGACTTGCTACTGGAAGATGAGTGGGTGGATGCTAGTGCATTGCAAGATGTTAATACTCATACAACCATACGCACTTCATGCACAAGCTCATTAACACAAAACCTAAACACACAACATTGACATCTCAGAGAGGAAAGAAGGCAGTGTGTGACTTGCTGCTGGACGATGGTCGGGTGGATGTGAGTGTGTTGAAAGATGTACAGGCCAATCGCAAAGCATCCCGCCGAGAGCTTGCGAGAGCACTTAGAGAGTACGAGCCTGAAGTAATCGGTATGTAGATTCTTGAGTATATATTGTATTTGAAGGTATGTGGAGAAAGCACATATGTTACATATACAGTTGCAACAATAACTTTCCTCTATTGCAAGGCGAATGGTAATACTTTGCTCATAACCTATCAACAAACTATTTAAAACCTACTAATAATTAGTTGTAATCCAGATATAACCTATATATAACTTACTTATAATCTATCTATAGCCTATTTTAACGAATTTGAAACCCATATATGAGCTATTCACAATATATTTTAAACCTATTTATACCCCATCTATAAGCTATTCGGCTATTTATAGCCTATGTACATCCTCTTTGTAACCTATATACAACCTATTTATAGCCGTGAAATATACCTACCCTGCACAGAGTGGAGCGGCCCTGTGTATCGACCGGTGACCAAAGCGTCTCCACAAGCCAACGCAAAAGACAGAGCCACTGACTCTGACAGTGAACACATACCCATTACCATGACAACTGATGAATCCGTGGAGGATACCCAGATGGAAACCCCACACACCGACATTGATACTGTTGCGCTTGCTGCCGAAGAGGCATCTGTAGCAGAATCTATTAATAGCACGGAAAGCACTGGTGTGACACCGTCTACATCCTCAGATGGCGATGGTTTTACTGCGCCCAAGGTATGTGACCTTGTGTATAGTAATGGATGTATGGTTATCCCTGTGTGCTGAATGCATGTGTATGAATAACGTGCGTATTAGAGAGCATACATTGAAAGTGCGTATATATATTTATATATAAAATCCTACACATGTTTGTTCGTACAATTTGCATTCAAGGTATGTGTTCGTGAGTGTGGTGAGTGTACGTATCGAAGTATCATGGTTTTCAATCGGGGTCAGATGTGAGTTGGTTGCGGACCACTCTTGATCTAATATAGTGACGACCGTCGCGGAAAATCCACCGCCGAAAAACCTGGTTTACGCGATTCATCCCGTCGGCGACTTCTTGAAGCTTGACAAAGAAAGCTTTGACATCTAAATTGCAAGATCTGTCACCACACCATTTGTAGGATCTGTTACGAACATCAGATCGGGGCAAAATGAGCCCCTATCCCAAGCATGCAGTCCAGGGCAAAACAGACCCTAAAACCCAGGGCAATTGGCGCTCAACTCTGCACACAGGACCGCGGCGCTATGACACTTGTACGGTCATACCCTCGCGTATACGACCACATTTGATCGATGTGCAATATGTGGGCCCAAATACAGGACTGTATGTAGATACACATGAGAGATCAGCAACTGACGAGACAAGTAGCAGTGCTCGTGCACACACCCACACCTACACCCACACCCACACCCACACCCACACCCACACACCCCCTCTCAGCCACAGGCAGACAGACACATTCGCGTATATGCACACAGACGATACTACACACCCACAAAATAAAACTACAGACCTCCCTATACACACTGGGGTTGCCAGCAAGAATAGACGCAAGCACCAAACACGCCAGGCACTCAGAGATGGGCAGACCCGAGCCCTGCTCGAAGCCGTGTGTGAGGTGTTGAGTGCGCGCAAACGGCCGCGTACACTCCCATACGCATACAACCGCACACGCACACACACACACACACACATACTCGTACACACACGTGTGCGGGCATGCACACGCACACGCACACGCACGCCTACGGCGTCTCTCTCTATCCCGCCATCAGACCACCCGCCTGGTACACTGGCACACATGCACAGGACATGCCTGTGTTTGTTCCGTTGCGTAGCTGTTCTATTAGACTACAGTCTACTGCACACACTAAGTGCAGTGGGAGGGTGTGCTGATGCGCGTGTGCGTGTGAACCACCACAAAGCCGTTGGTGCGCTGTGTGCGTATCTGCTACTGTTGAACGCACAGGCGGTGCTGATTAAGGTCACGAGCTACACGCGAACGCGTGCGTGGCAGGCTATAAATAGAACAGGGCCATGGGAAGGGTTTATAAATAGCAACCAATCAGATGAGCTGGGAGCACCAGACAGAGCCGGCCTTATGGAGAGGCCTGGTGTGCACATATATGACGTAACAACCGGGCGAGGCGCTGTACGGGACAGCGCAAAAACAACACGTGTAATAATCAGGCCTCCTACTTGGTCTCGGGATGGTTTTGAATTGGTGGGTGGCTGTGTGGTGTAGATTGTAGTCTGGCTGACGAAAGGAAACGCTGGGGGTGGGGGACTTACCAGTTCCCGAAATGTATATGAATATATACTACACATGAATGTATTTATATGAATCAATTATATTCATGAGTGACTGTGTATGTATCAAACATACAGGATGCATACTTATACAATCACAATCGCGCCCTGGCGTGTATGACGCACTCATAAATCACATGTACGTCGATGTCCTCAGTCAGTACAGCAGATTCGCTGGAGTGCGATACTATCCACAGACGCAGAACATGCTGAAGGGCTCTCAATCGCCTTCAAAACACTAATATGCATTATATTACTCAGACTTCAGGTTAAATTTTGCATTATATTTGAATTTTAGGTTAAATTACCATCAGGAAAGTACCCAGTTAGATTCAAATCAGCACTCAGGACAAGTCTTCTGCGGATTTTCGTTTGTCAATGCCATTTAAATCGACAATTGGGCAGGAAACGGCAGTTCTCACAGTAGAAGTTTATGTAATGCCCATCAAATATCTGCACTCATCGACGCCTTGATTTCTAGCAAACGTATATGTATATACATATACATTCAAGATGTATATACATGTCCTTTCAACTTAAGATGCAACAACATGTACAATTTTGAGATGTTTCTACACATATACTCAAGTACATTGGAATATGAAATATCGACCATCTTACACGTAATCACTACTAACTCTTCTGTACAGCCTTCGCTAAGATCAACCAGTCCCGCGGTTCCAAAAGGCAAAGCTACCAATTCACTCACACATTCAGAGACAGTGACTACTCTAGAACACCAACAACTCCATCAGGCCAGTCGTCCATCGCTGGTAAACATACCCTCACCTTCCGGTACGAATAATGAATATGTATGTATATATATATATATATATATATATATATATATATATATATATAGTGTGTGTGTGTGTGTGTGTGTGTGTGTGTGTGTGTGTGTGTGTGTGTGTAGTGTGTGTGTGTGT